TGGATACTACTCAAGTACCTAGGTAGGTAGGTATTGTGTAATGAATGCACACGCCTGCATCATGTACGGAGTGATCAACTTTGGATGGACCAGCCCGAAGCTGTCACGAGTGATGGGTGACCCGACCTGGCCGGCCCCATGTGCTGTTTGTTGCCCCCGCCCCAGCCCGGCGAGCTGTTGTCCCCGTCAGGCCAACCGAAACCCGAGGGATCGATCGTGCGCACTCCGTACATGATATGGGCGGTGGTGCAGATAGATACTGCACAGCAGCATCAGCCGAGGTATCGGGCCAAGCCCCCATCTGCGGGTGTGCTGGTGGTGATTTTCGAGATTTGGGATTTGGGATTTGGGATTTGTGGGGGCCAGAATGTCGCCGTGATCCGGGGGTGTCTTGTCCGTCTGTCTGCTGTCGTCGCAGCAGCAGAAGCAACAACGACAACCTGGCTGTCAGGGCTGTCAGGGCTGGGGCCACCCAGAGCAACGGGAACCGTCGAATGTCGCTTGCTGGTTTCAGCAGCTGCAGGATGTGGGACCTTGAGGAAAGAGCTGGAGCCTCAAAGTGACGGGTGCTGAGGTGAGGTGAGGTGGTGAGAGGCGTCCCGCCGAGCTTCTGCCTCCCTAGGTACGACTAAGAAATGTCTGGCTGGTGTCTGGCTGTTGTCTGGTCCGTCTGAACTTCCATGTTCTGGGCCCCGCCAGTGTCTGTCAACTCGTGCCAGGCTGCCAGTCCCGTCAAGCCCTGTCCCTCTTGGCTGGGCAGTCTGTGCCTTTTCTTCTCGATTTGTACAAGCTGCTGGCTGCCAACTCCTGCCGTCTGGCTATTAGGTTAGCCACCAGAGATGGGACGAAAAACTAGCACCTCGCTTCGATCCCTCGTCCCGGTCCAGATTCGTCCATGGAGCCGACGGCGTGATTTGCTCGCGTGTCGAACCCCCGGGGCGACTAATAGCATGAACGGAGTAGGATGGGTCCTGGTGAGTCCTGAGTCCTGACTTGACGGCAGTTGATACCGTTCTGTCTGTCACTCAGTCTCCCCCTTTGTCCCCTGCTGGTTGGTCTCTTTCCGCCTGCAGCTCCTCACATGCAGTTTCCCCACGTAGACTGTCAGACCGCGTCGTGCCTTCCCACCATGTCACAGGCTGCAGCCCCACCTCATGCCAATTGCCAGGACCATCTGCGGCAAACAGAGGAGTTTCTGTAGGTACCTGGCAAGCCTGGGTAGATTATTTTACGAGACAGCCGAGGGGGGCAGACAGGACGATCACCACGAGGCTTGCAGGTGCAGATCAGAAGCTCGTAAAGGGTATGCGGGCCGCGTTCTGGATTGCTCCAATCTCAATCTTGTTGACCAGTCCGAGTAGACTCCGTAACGTAACCGTCGGGTCAACCCCTTGCAGAACGGTCCGGAACCTCGTCTCTACCAGCTCTGCCAGCTCTGCCTTTTTGCCCTTTTTGCCCTTCGCCCCCAGGCCCCCTCTCTTCTTCAGCAACCAGACGCCTGACAGACATGGCACTATTTACCCCGTAATAATAACAAGTCCGCGATACCAACCAACTCTGGCCATGGTCTCGCTGCAACCGTTCCAGTGGCTTGACGCCCAAATCTAAGGCAGTTGCAGTTAGTTGCAGTCACAATTGTCCGTCGCATGCTTGTCATCCGCCCGACCAACACCAAAAAGAGCCGCGGCAAGCAAAAAGAAAATTAGACAACACCACAGCCGTGCAGCGTGCGCCGGGAGGATTGCAAGGACAGACCACCCGCCAGTTCCACCAGGCCCTGAACCCTAGCAGGGGTCTAATGCAGCAATCTGCAAGGCACCGAGCTATCCCTGCCACGCCTCCCTGACGGGCCTGTCTGCCTGTCCACGCCTGTCGAATCATCGACGGCTTCCTGACACGCAGGACACGCAGTGGTTGCTCTTCCCGGCCGGTGGGTTCGCCGCCTGCACCGCCGAGGGAACGAGACCGAAATCCCCACAACCGTTGCATGCAGAGGCCGCGTCCAAATGATGCTTCTCCAGTGTCTCCAGACCCTGCAGGGGAGCCGATACACCTGACCGGTGCGTGAATGGGAATGCATGCTATCGCAGGCGTGACTGACTGGTAGGTAACTGACACGCTGACACATTTGCCCAGGACCACACCACAACCACTGGTGGTAGAGCCACAGGCAGAAACTACATAGGCGCAGCGAACGGACTGTCCAGCATGTACGGAGTATATCACCAGTCCCCACGTCGCGCAGATCCAGACCAAAACCTGCCCCCGTCACTTCACCCGTCGTCCATCTCGAGACAACCACAGATACACGGATGACTGCGCACGACGGCTCGTCTGCTTCAGACTCGTGCCTGCAATCTCTACGGCCGTTGTCTGTGTGTGCCAGCCCCAAAAGTTCGGTACCGATACAAGCATCTACCTGTGGCATCATTTAAACTTTGACTCCGCGGGCGGTCCCACTGCAAATGGATCTTGGAAACGTTGCGACCTTGAAGATTCTTTGGACCGAAATTGCAAATAACTTGGGACATGACCCGGGATCCCTCTCTCGGGATCCCTCTCCCAATTCCCCGCCGCCCGATCTGGAGCTCTCCTGGCGCCCTCGTACCGTGCTCCGGAACGACTTCCTGTACTGTATCACGCTGAGCACGACTCGTCCCGTCAGCTTCCCCGGTCGGAGAGAAAACGGGAAACAGACTTGCCCACTTTGCAAGAGGTGGCAGACTTCTGCTTGCTTGGCTGTCGCAATCCGGCCAACCTGCCGGCGTGATGCTGTGCTGAATCGCCTTCTGAATCGCCTGATTAGGCCGAGTCCACACACTCGACAACCAGGTGGGGCGGTCCGACGCAGGTAATATACACCATGTAGGGTAGGTACTACAGTAGATGCCAGCTGGACGTCCCGGTCCAATCACCGCGGCGCCCGGCCTCTCGGGATAGCGACCGACCGCAAGTTGCTCCCTCGCTCGAGAAGACCGCAGGATCCGGCCCTGCATTGGGCTGCCTGCACATATCGTCGACAGTAAGCACCATCGGGATCGCAGGATTGCAGACAAGACGCTTGCCGCGGGTGATTGGCAAGCCTCACAAGGTCCGTTCCGAACAAGCGGATCTGGGAATCTGTGACAGCCTGGTTCTTCTCCACTGGGCGTGCTGACCGGGCTGGTCCGCTGCCTGCCAACCTGTCAGACGGTAAATTCCATCATCTCACACGCGGAGAGGCGCTTACAAGACCCAGGCTGGCATACATAAACAGGCATAATTTGTGTTGATCACCAGGTACGTGCTGACGTTATATATGATATGCGTGAGCCCAAGGCCGCGAGGGCCTATCATCCATGGACTCCATGCGTCAACAACCTCGCTGGCGCGCCATTGCTACACTGCAGTGTGACCAACCACAAAAAAAAAAGACAAAAGAGACTCGCTCGCGACAAGTACCTGTCAGATTGCGGGCAACATTGCCTCACGATTTCTCGGCGTTTGTCAGCACCGACTCCAGCGTTAAATTCGTGTCACCGTCAAATATGCTCAACCTCTGCGCAGCCTCACGTGCCTCTGACAAGATCAGCTCTTCGGTCTTGCTCGAACGTGGTGTGAACCGTGCTTTGAACGGCAGTGGGCGTATATTCTCGCTGTCATTATACGCAAAAGCACTCAACTGGACTGGGTTTCCCTTCATGTTTGGAATTAAAGTCAGCCACAGGCACTTCTCCCTAACCGCAGCCGACCGCAAATAGTCGCGACATCCGCACACGTGTGTCCTGACCGACCATCACAACTCAACACTGTCCCAAAGGGCAAGTACTCACCTTCTCGTCGAGTCCTGGCTCGACCTTGAACGCCCAGACCAACCTGGCCACCACCATCGACACGCTCTGATCTGCCAACGGCTGCCCGCTGCATTGCCTCCTCCCCCACCCGAAGGCGTTGTGGCCCCTGCTGTTAGGGTACTCAAAGGCGAGCCCTCCGGGAAGGTTGCCTAGGTACCTCTCGGGCCTCACCGTGTCGGGTTCGGGAAAATCACCCGGGTTCCGGTGGATCGCCCACGTGTTGCAGGTCAGCTGTGTGCCCTTGGGGATCAGGTAGCCCCGGTACGTGTCGTCGCAGACCGGCGCGTGGGGTATCCCGCCGAGGATGGTCACCGTCCGCCAGCGCATGATCTCACGGGCTAGAGCGTTCGTGTATGGTAGACGGCCGGCGTCCAGGTCCTCCCAAGTGGGTGACCTGCCTCCCAGCACAGTGTCTATCTCGTCCTGGGCTTTGGTCTGAACTTCTGGGAAGAGGCAGAGGGCGAGGATGGCGGAGGTCAAAGTTCCGCTTGTGGTGTCGACGCCGGCGCCAAGCAGACTTTTCTACGTCAATGTGCCATTTTACACGGGGTACGGGTATTATACACTTACTTCGTTGTCAAAGCGGACACCTCCTCATCACTCAATCCAAGAGTGGGCTGCTTCTCCAGGACATCTTTCGCAAAGCTCGGGTTTGGGTTGTTTGCGGCCGCCTCCTTGTTGAGAGCATAGAAGTACTGGGCCAGGTGTGACGAGATTGTCCTCACGATAGTAGGGAAGGCGTAAAGCCAGGGTGGTAGTTGCGCCAGCCAGGGCAGCGTCTCGACTATCAGCCAACCCGGGATGACATAGTTCACGACAGCCATTGTCTCCAGGGCCTTCTGGCAGACGTAGTCATTCTTCTTTGCGATGCGTCTGCCCCACCCGATTATCGAGACGACCGAGACAGAATACCGCTCGATGGACATCTGTAGGATGTGGAGTCAGCCAACGAGCATTCGAAGCACCAATACAGCAGTTGCATGCAACCAGAGGAAGTAAGGGCCACAACAAGGTCACAGCCTGTCTCGAATCCGAACCCGATCAAATTCTTCGTGTCACAGGCTACATATTGGAGTGTTCTCTTCTCGAAAGGGATAAGTTATTATCCAGAGGACGCTTACGACATAGTCATCTGGATCGGTCAAGAAGTCGAGCGTCAAAATCTTAGACTCGTCACCCTGGAAGTGCCGATGGTCTCGCACCACATGGCTACCGACGATAGCATGCTAACGCTCAAGTCAGAGACAACACAAAAAAATACATTTCCAGATGGAACGCATTGTGGATTTACCGTGAGCTTCCTATGCAGCCTCCACTTGTCCCCATACACAAGCGTGGCCTGGTTCGTCGTCGCCGACCCCGTCAGCTCCCCCATGGCCACGAACCTGGGGCGCGACGAATAGACATCCGCGCGCTTCTCCAGCAGGTCCGACGCGGTCCATGCGTCGTTGAGGACGATGACCGGCCGGCTCCCCAGCCAGATCGTGATCATGGGGTTCGCATACTGCCGGCTCCATTCTTCAAACCTTACCCACGGCTGCCAGTGGGGGATGCGGAAGTGGTTGCCGAGGACGGGCAGCGGGAAGGGCCCCGGTGGGAGTTTCCGGCGCAGGAGGAGCACCCGAATGTAGTCATAGGTGATGATGCAGGTGAGGGCTAGCGCGGCGATGGTCAGGACTCGGAGTGAGACCTGTGCCGGCCCGGCCGTGTCGAATGTCAGTAGCATCTTGGTCTTTGTCTTCTTCTCCTGGTCTGATTCGGGGGGGTGAGCGCTAATGGGTGAGAAGAAGCAATATCGGATTGGTTGTTTTCGTTACACGGCATTGAATCACGATGGAGGTTCCCAAGTCCCCTCGTATTTATATACGTAAGGGTGGTGGGTGGTCAACTACTCATCAAGGGTGTTGAAGAGGGATGCCGGGACGCCCAGGGGCCCACCCCCGTTGCCTCTTGGCACGCCTTCAAGTTGCCAGTCAAGCTCGTTGAGAGCTCTGCCCAGGCGAGATTACATGCTGTCATCGCAGAAGTATAGAAAACCTGGTGGGCGGCACGGTGGTGGGGGACGCCAGTATATCCCAACTCGCACTCAGGGTGCGGGGTGCAGATAATGGGTCCGAAGTGTGCATCGTCGCAGTCGTGCTTATGCAGGGTGAGACGTTGATGCAAGCTTCTTGTTCCTCGACCCTTGCCGCCACTGCTCGGCACATGGCCGTTGAGGTTCCTGGGTCATCCTCTATCTCATGATTTCCGGGTGTTGATATCTCGAGTGAGATGTCAGGAAATTTTCTTTGCCTTGTGCTGTGCTATGTGGCGTCGATGTCATCTGTAGTACGGACTCCGTACTACGGAGTAAGTGTCGAAGAGCGTGGTCATAGTTAAGGTGTTTGGTAGCGACTTTATAGTAAGCCTTGGCAATGATAACGCTTCCAACAACGCTCCTCTATCAACAGAACAAATCATTCCAAGTGAGTCGCGATTTTTTCTCACATTTTCGAAGTCTCTAGGTTGAGACTGGCCGAAGATTTTCAACAATAGCTTTGTAAAGCTACGATACTTTTAGGCCTCGGATCTTGCGGGATCTTTTCTCACCCTGTCACTTTTCGTAATGTCCTACCACATGCGTCTGCTATTCTGCTTTTGAGATGCCGTTGTTGGGGAAAACGTTGACCGGGAAATATCACCATATCCACTTTACTTAACCCTGGATGCCAAATGTGGTATTGTCTGGTGCGGCCAGAATGCTTCTTCTAAATCGCATTTGTTGCTATATGAGGAGTTATATACGATAGATATAATGTGACAGTCATAATCTCATCATTGATTGGCTTCTTACTCTCACAAAGAGTATGGTAAATGTGTCTTGGACACAAGAAGCCCTGGATAGCTGCATCATTTCGACACATCATGGCCCTGACATAAACCATGTCTCCATGTCCCAAACATAGGAAAAGACCAATGTCACGTCCGGCTCAACCACGAACAGCACCGCTCACCTCAAAGGCCCCTCATCCGCCCTCTGCTCAACAGGCGTGATGATGCTGGAGTTATGGCTCAGCCTATCCCTCCCCGCGGGCTCACGCGAGGGCGGCCAGGGCGGCAGCTCCATCTCGCTCCTCGAGCGCGGCGTCGTCGCCGTCTCGGGCCTGCGGAGGTTGACCTCCTCGTCGGCCGGCGCCCGCGTCTCGTTCACCGTCTGCAGCGACTTGTCCAGCTTGGCCAGCTGCGCGCTCAGCCACGACTGCCTGGTCTGCAGCGGCGGAGGGGCCTTGCGCGACGGGCGGGACCCGATCGTCGGCAGGGGGATGTGCGGGTGCTGCGGGTGGCCCACCGGGCCGGCGGCGCCGTCCTCGGGCGTGCCTGTGGTCTGTCTCGTCGAGGCTGCGAAGATGCGGTTGAAGAGCGGCTTCAGGGTCATGACTGAGGCGCAGACTATGGCGGTGTTGACCTCGATCAGGGACCAGTAGATCGTGTCCACGCCTGTGTAGCTGTAGTCGGGCCCGACCGGGATGGTCGCGAGCAGGACGAGGCGTATTATGGAAACAATACAGATGCTATGATTAATTGTTAGTCGCAGAAGAGAGACCAGCAAAGTATTCGGGGTAGAGTGACGGACAAGAAACCAAATGAGAACACTATAGTGAGCACTACCTTCTGGTCCTTGGGCGCTCGAATGGACCAGACGACGGGCAGAGGTAGCAGGAAGATGAGAAAATCTGTCCCTATCTGCAGCCCTACCAGAGAATAGTAAACCTCGTTTGAATGGCAATATGTAGCTTGTACACTGGGGTCCCAGAATGCTTTCAGAGGTATGCAGGCCGTAAAGTCGAGGATCAGATTGATGGTGCCAGTAACGGTGACGATGACCATAAACCCCAAGAGAACCTTTCTCGTCCAATCATAAGTTAAGGTCCGCAAGTATAGTAGCACCACGCTGATTTTCGAGAGATTAAGGCTACATGTGTAGAAAACGATAGTGAACCATGATGCCTATTTGCGTAGGAAACATTATTAGCAACACAATCGCAGGCTTGTTGGCGACCGCATCGCAATGAACGTCACGCTTACCTCGAGCAACGTCACATATTTCTCCATGGGAATTGCAATGAAATGTTTCCCGAGCCCCAGGCCTGCCTGGATGATGAACCCAATGCTCTCTGCCAGGGAGAAAAATAAAGCCGCCAAAATAACCCAGTCCTCCGGGCCAAGTAACTCCATCAAGTTTCCTCTGAGGTAGAATCGACTCGCTACGACCACGGCCGATATCAGCCATGTCAGAGCAGCACAGGCTATAATGTTGCCTTGATGCGACTCGGAGAGGTCATACACCACATTTTCCCCAGTGGACATGGCTTGTGCCGCGGCGACTCAAGCAACGGAACACGGACGGGATGCTCCCTGTCTCACACCGAGAGACCGCTTGTCAGTGGTGGCCTCGGGGGGGCCAAGAAACATCGCCGAGGGTATGTGGTGGGGGTATAATGTATAAGGGGTCTCAAAGACAAAAAAACCCGGTCGTCGATCCTGTGATGGTAAGTGCCGGACTTGCAGGTAGCGAATCTGGGGTAGTGGGAGAAGTGAGATGTGACAGGTGTAAGGTTCAAAAAAAGGACGGAGGAAAAGCAAAACACCAAGAGGTGGAATTCATGTGGGCAGTAAAGCCATATCTTTCGGCCATGATGCGAGACTTCAGGACTCTTCATTACGATAGACCACACACCGCTGCGCAGAAGTGGGCGAGTACAGTGTATTTCCCGCCAAACTTCGACCATCGTATTAACCAGCAAAGTCGGGACGCGCGAGCAAGCCAGCCAGCCCGGACGCCTACCTAGGTACACTATTGGCAGAGGGGGCGACCATGCGCGCCCTGCCACGATGGGGCAGGCGTACACAGTAGGTCTGTGTGGTAAAAAAAGTTTCCATCGATTTGCACGCGGCTGATGATGACCCAGCCCGTCACCGTTGAACCTCAAACGCACAGGTGGGAAAATCAAAGCGCCCTGGAGTCGTCCCACATTTGATCGATGGGTCTCGATTATCCCGACCATGATAGGAAGCGTAGCCGAGATGAGCCCTCTAATTTTCTCCAGATATTTGGGCCGCTAGCCGTGTCGATGTCCCTTCAGGGCTGCCAGGGGAAAAGACTTTTGCTGGAAGCGAGCCTCAGCTGCCGACCCATCACTAGCCGTAAACGATCTGGGCTGTCTGGTCAGTTGTGATCGTAGCTGGGCTGAGGTGTTTTGACCACTTCAGTTTGTGGTTAGCCTTTCGATCTATACACACATCTACTGGTGAGTTGCGCGAAGTCTTGCGTGGTCGTAGACACTCTCAAGCTCCTGTTTTCCCTCGGAGCCATCGAGGTTCGCTGTCAAGCTTTTGCAGGACCATCCAAGTCCAAAGAATTGTGTCAATCTTGCGTGTCAATCTTGCCTTGGTCTTGGCAGCGGAGCCAGCAACTTCTCGAGAAAGAGTGGATCACAACAGGAGGCCGGACTCGGCCCCCACGATCTCATGGTTCACATAGTGTACTTCTGTTGTGGGCTGATAGAAACGCACACTTTGTTTGACCGAAACAATGTCGTTGTGCACATAGATAAACCATCCAGCCAAACCTCCCAGAAGCAAGGGACAGCGTAAGCTGAATTGCAAGCTCGTTCATGTAAATTAGGAGTTTTCGGCATGTGACGATGCTGGTTGAGGGCGCAGACAGCCCATCGCCCCATCAACGGGAAGATAGCGAGTCAAGCTTATGGATTTCGTCAGGAGATTTCCCCCCTTCCCTCCGCCTCGAAGACATGGTTCACGAGAGTTTCAACGGCTGCACAGATCCGGAACTTGCCGTGGCTAATGCACGTCGAAAGGCAGCCGCATTAGGTTCCCGGCACGTGCAAACGCTTAGCATTGGTGCAAAGGCCACAATGGGCCCATCGCTTGCGACAAGGCTTGCAGGCGGACGCGCCCCTGGACAGTGGAAGTGATCTGCCCCAGGCTCGTATATGTGTGTACGGCGATCCGACCAAAACTGCCTTTTCGTTTGCGTCTTGTCCCAGGATTTCCACCCTGACAGCACCCGAGCGGGCAAATCCTCCCGCTGCCAAAAGTGCCAGACTAGTAAAAGAAATTGCCCGTCACTCCACCTGCGAGCCTTTCCCCGATATTTCGCCATCATGAAGGTTCCCCCTGCTTCAGGTCGAGCCATATGAGGAAGTCCACGCCCCGGAACTACAAGCGCGAGCGAAATGGTTCGATCCATATCAGCGGTCGGCTACCTGCCTACAACATCTCGAGAAATGGAGAATAACCCTGTGGACAGAATTTGACGGCCAAAAGTAGTAGCGAGCAGTTGGTTGCCGTGGATCACTGTTCCTGATATTGGGGCCGTTCCTGTCACACGGACTCGGCGCATGGAACGGGAAGCGCGGTGTTCTCAGAAAATACTTCGATTCGCGACTTGCGTTCGCTCGTCAGCTCAGTTCGTGTGCTGCTAATAAAGAGATGTGGGGGTACCTACTGGCTAGGCAAACTGGCCCTTTTCCTCCCACAATAATAACTCTGTGACAATCGGCGCCAATCATAGCGACGTTCACAAGGCTAGCCCTTTTAAATGCCTACTGTTCTTCGCCAGAGGCTTGTTGACCCTAAATCGGGTATGTTTTGCACTCGGATCTTGAGCGACACGGTGACACGCTTAAGAGATAAGATCGGCGACGTTCATCGGCATCTCATCAATCTGGGTCGAGTAGTACACTGCACACTGATTAGCAATCGCTCACGACCCGAGAGCTGGACGAACTCACACTCGATGTCTCGCAAAATGCGCACATCCTCGCTTGTGACGAAGTTGATCGCAACACCCTTGCGGCCAAATCTTCCAGATCGGCCGATACGGTGGATGTAGTTCTCACGATTGCTGGGCAGATCGTAGTTGATGACCAGACTGACCTGCTGGACATCGATTCCACGCGCCCACACATCGGTTGAAATGAGCACTCGGCTGTTGCCCTGTCGGAAGTCCTGCATGATACTATCCCGCTCCTTTTGCGGCATATCTCCGTGCATGCTACTGACTGTGAAGTTGGCCTCGCGCATCTTATCGGTGAGCCAATCCACCTTACGCCGAGTGTTGCAAAAGATGACGGCTTGGGTAATGGTCAAAGTGTCGTAGAGGTCGCAGAGAGTGTCGAACTTCCAATCCTCCTTCTCCACGGCAATGAAGTACTGCTTGAGACCTTCGAGAGTCAATTCGTCACGCTTCACGAGGATGCGGACAGGGTCGGTCATGAACTTGGTTGTCATGTCGAGCACGTCATAGGGTAGCGTAGCCGAAACAACAACGACTTGTGTGGCGGGAGGAAGGTATCGGTACACGTCGTAGATCTGCTCTCTGAACCCTTGGTTGAGCAGCTCATCGGCTTCGTCAAGGACCAACATCTTGATGTGACGGGTGCGCAGGTGCCGGCGTCGGATCATGTCAGCAACACGACCAGGTGTTCCAGAGACGATGTGCTGGCCATAATCCAGCTTGCGGATATCCTCGCCAACGTTTGTGCCTCCAATGCAGGCGTGGCATTGGACGTTCATGTAATCGCCGAGAGCCATGACGACGCTCTGAATCTGGGTGGCCAACTCGCGTGTCGGGGACAGGACAAGCGCTTGGGTTTCGCGAATGGCGGTATCGATGACTTGGAGCATACTGATGGAGAAAGTCGCGGTCTTGCCGGTTCCGGATTGCGCTTGAGCGATTGTATCACGACCCTTGCACACTTGAACGATGGCGCGGGACTGAACCGCCGAGGGTGACTCGTAACCGTAAGCGTAGATTCCGCGAAGAAGAGATTCTGTCAATCTGGGTCAGCATTCGTTGCCCACGCAGTGCGTGCGACGCAGGATTAAGCCTTACCCTTGAGCGACATCGACTCGAAGGTAGGATGGACCGTGACCTCCTTGGAGGTGTTGAACTCCATCCGCTCCTCCGCCTTCCGGTCGATACCGCCTGCTTCAGCCATTTTCAAGATCTGGTGATGCTTTGACTCCCAGTTGACTATTTCGGATGCTGTTGGCTTTGTTGGTGGTTTGATAAGTTTTGGCGCAAAGCAGTGAACGAAGTTGAAGATCGAGCTGGGCTAAGCACCTGGAGGCGGGCAGGCTAACAGCAAATTCCTGCAGGGGTTGGCCAGAAATGCGGGTGCTTATCTTATCGGACAATTAGCTCTGGCTGTCTGGTCCGTGCCCCAGACAACTTCGTGGATCTTGCGACAACTGCGACGGGTTTCCTTCTCGGGAAACCCATAGTGGACAGAACGGGCGAAACTGGCACATTCCCCTTCTCTGACACACTGACACCAGGATGTTGTTGGAAGAGCAGCGATACATTGCCGAGGACCTCGAGCGCCTCGAGCAAGGCGTCGCGGATCGCATCGGCGAGGAGCCCAAGGTGGTACGTGATGCCCTCTTTCTGCCTCGTTCGCGACGAATCCAAGCTGACCACGTCCCCCGCGGCACAGATCCGCGATCGCCTCAACCGAGACCATGAGGTATCTCAGCTCCTTGACCAGATACAGAAACAATCCGCAGAGATGTTGTCTTTGTATCGCGATGCTAATGGCCTCCGGTCCAAAGAGGTCCTGCAGATTGGCAGCGGCGACCCTTTCGAAGAGTTCTACAAACAGGTGAACGAAGTGAGGGAGCACCACGCGCGATACCCGAATGAGCAGGCAGAGAATTCCGAGATCCGTTACCGGCAGCGCAAGACGGGCGACGAGCCTCTGCCTTCGCTTGTCGATTCGATGTTTTCTGGCGAGGAGGCCTACGGACGCTACTTCGACCTACACGCCTGCCACGAGGAATACATCAATCTTCCCAACGTCAAGCGCCTGGGCTACCTGCAGTACCTTCAAATTTTCGACAACTTTGCCCCCGGCCATGGCGGTGTCAAGAGGGCGGACAAATTGACCGACCAATACTTCAAGTACGTTGGCGAGTTGGCAGAATACTTGGAGAGCTTTATGCGCCGGACGCGACCGCTGGAGAATGTCAGCAAGGTGATCGAGTCCTTCGACAAGGAGTTTGGAGAGGCATGGGAGAAAGACGAGGTCGAGGGCTGGACAAATGAGTCGGCTGCTGCCACGGTGGCAGCGAAGGAGTTGAGCACTGCTGACGCTGTATGGTGCGATGCTTGTGAGAAAGAATTCAAGAACGAGAACGTGTACAAGGGGCACCTGAATGGACGGAAGCACGTCAAGGCAGCGCAAGCCCTCGCGGAGAGGCAGCAAGGCGCCGCAGATTCCGCTGTCGCATCTGGGAAATTCTCTGCGACAAGAATGAAGGAGCGCGTAGTAGCCGAGAGAGAGTTCAGGGTGAAACGCCTCGCCAGTGCTATGAGCACCGAGCGAGAGGATACCCGGGTCAATGTGGAGCGGCGGCAAGGAATGACTGAGAGGGAACGGCAACAAGAACTCGACAATCTGTTCAGTATGGCGGAGCAGCCACCACAACTTGCCGAGTCAAATGATCCAGAAGGCGAGGACGGCGAGGAGAAGATCTACAACCCCCTGAAGCTACCGCTGGCCTGGGACGGCAAGCCCATCCCATTTTGGCTCTACCGGCTGCACGGCTTGGGCGTGGAGTTCCCATGCGAGATTTGCGGCAACTTCGTCTACATGGGCCGCCGCGCCTTCGAGAAGCACTTTAACGAGGCACGGCACATCTACGGCCTGAAGCGGCTCGGTATCAACGACACCCACCTTTTCCGGGACATCACAGGCATCGAGGAAGCGCTTAAGCTCTGGGATAAGAGACAGCGTGACAAGAAGGCGAACAGGATTGAGGACGGGAGCATCGTTCAGATGGAGGATGCCGAGGGTAATGTGATGCCGGAGAAGGTGTACTATGACTTGCAGAAGCAAGGTTTGCTGTAGGCGCACGTGCGGCAGCAGGCAGTGCCAGTTTCCTGGAACGTACATGAGGCACGCCAAATGGCATGAATAGACAGCTTAGCAGAAGATTCAAGTTCAGCTTATAGGAACCTCGAGTGTAGCCATCCGTGCTTTACATGAGACAAATGAAGATTTCCTCAAAGGAATTCAGTCAAGCTTGATATCAGACTAATGGGGTATTGAAATGTTCCATTGTACTTATCATATTTTACACCAGGTAAATGAGAGTTTAAAGAATCGCTTGAATATGATCCAAGCCTTATGGGCTTCATTTGAACACAACCCAAGGGCCTTCATAGCATAACCAAAGGGGAAGCTCCTCTTAATCTGTTTCTCTTGATTTGTAGCCAGCCACATCTGTATTTGCAACTGTTCATGAGCAGCCGAGAACCGACATTCTGGTAAATAAATCTTTGCTGGGGACTGATTCCGTGTTCACTTTGGTCATCATTTGAGGCATGGTGTCTAGACAGCTTGCTTCCAAGGGTGGCATAGGAGGTGATTTTGTGCACACCCCCGGGCCTCGACTAGTTGGGCTCTCTGTTTGAGCTCTCTGTTTGATACATCCCCTTTTCCCAGCTGGCTAGTGCCCACCTTGGTAGAGTTCCGGGTGAAGGGTGGACGCGAACGCAAACACCAGCTTCATCCTTTGCCCTTCTGCTACACTTCTGCCCAATTCCTTTCCAGGCTGGCAAGTGCCCACCTTGGTAGAGTTCCGGATGAAGGGTGAACGCGAACGCAAACACCAGCTTCATCCTTTGCCCCTCTGCTACACTTCTGCCCAAATCCTTTCCCATTCCGAGTCCATGCTTCCTGCCGCAGGTGTCCTGTATCAACCAGTCAGAGATGGATCCAAACACACACAAGGTTAGTACCACCTAGATGAAGAGTAGGAGGGCCGAAGGAAAATTACACGGAAGCTATCAGGCACTAACCGATCAGCAGGAGAGCGATTTCAGCTGGGGAATCGTGGGCGTAGGTTTTGACGACATCGAGGTGCCCGAGCCCGAGAACATCCAAGACGACACCGTCCGCCTTTTCGGCCAAGATCCACTTGAGTTTGAGGGCGTATCGTTGAGCCCTCGTTCGCTGCCAAGAAGCGAGCCTCTTTCGATGTTTGACCGTCTGCCTGAGGCATTTGGCGAGGAAGACAAGCTGCCCTACTCCTGGATGGCTCGCAATCCAGGAGCGGTGGCCAAGTGCCTCGAAAACAAGCCAGAACCAGTCGCCATCAGGCCCGCCAATTTGTCTGCTGTCAATGTTCAAGGCGAGGCTCTGTTGGAACATCACTTGAAGAGGCGCTCGCTGAACCCAAATCTTTACTTCTACCGTGTTGCAGTTTTCTGCTGCATCATGGACCTGAATAGCGCAGGGCTGTAGGTCAATCCGATCATAACAAACAACTGGCATCTCGCTCTTTGCTAGTCGACCATTGACGTTTTTCTCATTGCAGGATTTACCCTTCGATTCTGGCAACCCTCGTGGGACGGCTGTTTGGCGGCGACTGGGTCCTGATGGCTGTCTTCAACCAATACTTCATGCCATCATGGCTTCACATCGAGTGTATAATCGATCACGCAGCCGTCCAAAACATCCTCTCCTCGATCGAGCGTCACACCGCGCTGTGCCATCCTTCCTCCATTCCCCCCAATTTCGAAATTTTGATCAAGGTCCTCAACTACATGGTGGAAGAGCAAAAGCACCAGGGCCCGAACCTCAACCAGACGGTCGGCAAGCTGGTCAGCTCCTCGAACGGGCGAGAGTTTCACCCCCACCCCGGTTTATTCACGATACTCCGTGGACCGGCGTTGTCTGGCCGCTTCATGAAGCGGATAGGCGAGTGGTGGCCATACAAGACTGTCACTTGGCAACAGGCGGATTTACTGGGTCTGCACACAGACCGCGAGGCAGAGAAGGAGGACACCGTGGAGGACGTTGACCCGCGGTGTCTTACAGTCAACGGAGAAGCCGGAGGAGACATCAGAGCGGAGGCTAGGGGAAAAGGCAAGGGTAAGGGCAGCAGTCGCGCTTGAGAGACGGTCATACGACAGAGCTGGTTCAGCAGCTTGTGAGCTTCGTTGGTGACCCAAATCTGCAGTATACCCTCGTGGTTGAAGGCATACAACAGTGGATCAGAGCGTCTCGACTATCTTTGGTTTGGAGGAGAGAAAGGGAAAAAAAAACAAAGAAGTGATGGATTGTCCTTGGTTTTAGGCATCTGGTGTTCTACTTGAAGCGGGCAGAACGCCTCGGTGCCCGCTTGTGACGACGACTCACTCTAGTATTGAGGAATTTCTTTAGTCTCACACAGAAGGTACACTACCTAGGTATGCTCAATGTTGGGTTGGACCCTGACCAGCATCTTATTGAAGTGACTCGTTCTAAGTGTCAACAGAGTTTCATCGAGACTTCCAAGATTGAGTCTCTGGATCCATCGTAATGAGATACCAATTATCCATCCGAAAATAAGGAGACGCTCCACCGGTCGCGTTCAGATCAGTTAGGGACATGCCTTCGGCCGCACGATGCCATTTTATTGTTCTAGTGGACATTGGAAGTTACCACGGCGGGTATTGCGTCAAACCAAACCCAACGAAAATGGTTGTAGGTGCCCAAAGGCGAAAAGCGTTGAGAATCTAAGATACGCAGCTTCAGCCGTGTACTCTTCTCCCAAGTATTTCGAAGATCTCTTATTAGCCGAAGCGAAATCGTGAAAACACAGCAATGGCCAGCACGCAGACGCTTGTGATCTGCCATACCATTAGCTGGAGCTCAAATATCACTGAATAACAGCATCAACTTACAGACACGACTATGAAGGGAAATTCCACCCAAATGTCGTATTTGTGAGAGTTTGCCCGACCGGCCCTCTCGGAAATCGGCCAGGTGACAAGTTGCCCGATCGTCATTGCAACCTGAACTACGCCATAAAGCCGGCCACGGAGTTCTGCCTCAGCCAGAGAAGCAACGTACGAGAGCAAAGAAATTTCTAAGCCTGAACCCATGGCGAGGAAGATGCCAGCTGCGACTGTCAGATACAAATATCGATAAGACCAGCTAGAAATTAGGCACGTACTCACCTATAATTCGTGTTGCATAATCTGAAGCCACTGTCACGTATGCGCCGGCAATTGCCAAGGCTAATATGTTGCCGCGAATTAAAAAAACGTTGAGTGCAGACTGGCGGACGCCGAAGCGTTTCTGTGCGGATATGATGGCCCACGGGACAAACAATGCAAAAAATACAGCTCTGGAAACTTGGTGATACCAGAGCGAGACGAAAATATCGCTGATGTGCCCATGGCCTGGGCTGTGCCAGTGGATCATAATTTCATATATTGGGAGTGTCACCCAGGCCGTCTGCCAAAACGCTGGCAGAATAAAGGCAACAAGGGCGAAGATGACCTTGTTTGACCTGAGGAATGTCAGGGACCTCGACAGGCCTGAGACCTGGTTGGAAAAGGCGGGATCTGCACTCGAACGCTGCATTGCTGTCGACTCTGCATCCTCTGGACGTTCTAAATCATCTCGAATGGCAGACTCGCTCACAAAGTGAAGTAGGACAAAAGAGCCGATCAGGAAAGCCAAATTGAGTGCCTGCCAGGATCCACAGTTAGAGGTTAAGTATTTGGATAATGCTATAACTATACCAGTAAAAAGAATGGTTAGTACCTATAAACGTATTACACTTATAGTAAAGTAGAATTAAATAGCTATAGCTTTATAAATATAACTTATAAGGTGGATATTATTTAATAGAGTTTAAATTTTAATTTTATAAAAAAAGATATAATAGATATAGGGTTAATAGATACTAATCTATATATTTCTTCTAATAATATTAAGCTTTTAACTAATATTTATTAATAAATTTATATATTTATAAAGCTATTAAATATTAATTTAAAAGTATTTATATATTAAGTATAAAACTTAAGTAATTAAATTTATAACTTATTAAAAGTATAATATATATACTCTTATTATCTTTAAAAGGTAAAATCTATTATAGTTTATAATATATAATTTATTACTCTTATTTTTACCCTTTAAACTCTAACCTTTATTAATCTTCTTAATATTTAAACTTTAACCTTACCCCTTTATTTACTTTAAAGTAAACCTTATAAGTAGGAGCTATAGAGGTTAACTATTATTTTTAATAGTAATAAAACTCTATTATATAAATATTATTTATATTATTATAAATATCTTAACTAAACTTATAGCTATAATTATATCTAGTTAGTTACTATTATTATACTAATAACTATAACTATTATACTAGTAGTTTAATCTTATAGAACTAATAATATTTATACCTATTAATAAAAGTATAAAGCCACTTTTAAATTAAATATTTAAATATTTATTAATATAAAATTTATTATATTAAATATTTAATTAGAAGCTACTTAAATAGAAGTTACTTTACTAGGAATTATTTAATTAGAATAAACTTAATTAATATATACTTAATTAGAATAAAAGAGGTAATATTATAATGTTAATTTAGTTAATAACTCTTAATATTTTAAGTAAATTAAACTAACTAAAAACCTATTATAGCACTATAGTTATAAGGGTAGCTTAAGTTAATAAATAGTTAGTAATTTTATAATAAATAAGGTTATTATATAAGATACTATTAATAGTATTAAATATAAAGCTATTCTAGTTATTAGAAGCCTAAGCCTTTATATATTTAAACTAATATATATATTAAATATTAAAGAGGTTAATATAATTAATAATTTTATATTAATTATAAAGGCCTTTAAGTTTATATTTAAGTAAAGTTAAAATTTTAAGTTAAATAATATAAGTAAAGTTTAGTTATTTAATTAAATTAAACTAATAGTTTATAAGCTATATAAATTAAAGGAGTTAAAGGTTAATAGTTTTAAAGTTTAGCTATAAATTTATTAGAAATTAATATATTAGTTTATTATAATAGGTATATTATAAGATTTTTATTAATAGCTTTATATTTAAAATTTATATAAAAATATCTTTTATTTTTATAATTAATTAGTTAGAGTATAAATATAAGTATAGGTTTATAGTTTTTACTTTAATATATTCTTTTATAACTTTTAATATTTTATTAGTTTTAATACTATAATATAAAGGTTATATATTAAAGTAGTAAGTAAATAATTAAGTTAAAAGTAATATTAAAGTTAGTAAAAGTAGTATAAGAAGAGCTTTAAAGTTAAAAGGTTAGTTAAGTTAATTAAATAAAAGACTCTATTAAATAATTAATTAAGTAATATAAATAAAGAGAAATAGTATTTTAAATTAAGTAATTAAATAATTTAATAAAAATAGTTAAATAATAAATAAAAATAAATAAGTTTTAAAATAAAGTAAATAAATAATAAAATAAAAATAAAAGATTTAATAAATAAAGTAAAAGATAATAATTAAAAGGAATTTAATAGTAGATAAAGTTAATATATAATTAAAATATAAAATTATAAGATTAGAATATAAGGTTATAAAATTAAAATATAATAATAAAAGATTATAAGATTATAAGATTAAAATATAAGGTTATAAAATTAAAATATAATAATAAAAACTATAAAATTAAAAGATTATAATATAGTATAATATAAAGTAGTATAAGTTTAAGATATTAGGTTAAATTATTAGATTAATATAGGTTTAAGGTAAAAATAGAGTAATAAAATTAAATAGAAAGAAAGAGGTAATTAGAGATTAGTATAAAGGGTAATTAAAGATAAGGAAATAAGTTAGAAGTCTTTTAAGTAAGGTGGATAAATATTATAAGTATTAATATAATAAATAAATAAAAGCTTTATTAATAAGGTAAATAAAAGTAAGATATTAAAATATAAAGAAATTAATTAATTAAATAGTTAAGAATTAAAGTAGTTAAATAAAAGGGCTATACTATTAAATATTAAATAATAAATAATAAAAGGTAAGAAATTTTATAAGTTTATTAATTATAAATTAGCTATATAATAGTATAGTAAAATATTAATAAGTTTAGGTAGGTGGGTAATATTATAAACTATATAAATATTATTTATCCTTTATAAGATTTAGGTTAAATTAAATTATATAAAATATAATATTTATAGTTTATAAGGTTAGAATATTAAATAGTTATAATAATAATTATTTTTATTAGTTTTAATATTTTAAAACCTTATATTATATAAATAGGTTTAAAAGAAGTATTATATATTTTAAATAATAATAAGGTTAATATATATAATAAAGTAATATAAATATATAGTGTTTTATATTTAGCTTTATTTTATTAATAAATTATATATTTAGGTAAGGTGTTATAACTTACTTACTTTTCTTTTAAGTAGTTAATATTTAATATTAATATTAAATCTAATTATTAATTATTAAGTTATATAAAATATAATTATAGGTTCTTTTAATTATTTTTAGTAATACTCTTTACTATTTATAGCTGTTTTTATATAGTTCACTTTATTTCTTTAAGTTATTTTTAATAGCTTTTAATATACTTAATATTTATTTTTATATTAAAAGTTAAAGTTTAAATTATTACCTTTTAGGTAAGTTTTATAAAGTTATATATATATAGTATAATTAATTATATAATTTACTATATATAATACTAAATATATTAATAGTACTCTAATCTATTATATAGTATTACTATTATAAGTAGTATATACTTTTACTTTAAGGTTAAAAGTTTATAATATAATAAGGTAGTATAATATTATTTAAATAGAGATAGTTAAATAGTTTAATTAGTTATAATAATATTATATTATTATATTAGATAGGTATTAATATTAATATATTATATATGATTTATTACTTTATAACTATAAATATTAACTTTAATAAATATATTTATTATAATTTAAGTTAATTATTTATTATTTAATATTTAAAAGTTAGATATATATATAATAAAGTTTATAAGGAGAAGAGAAAGGAATTAAATTTATTATAAAACTATTTTCTTTTTATTTTATATTCTTTAAATAAATAATATTAAATTAACTTA